GGTTATATTTTTATCCCATCTGCTAATTTATTCGTTTTTGTCACTTCTTTTTTTTTTAGTAGACAGAATCTATCTATTGATGTGATATTGTCCATCTGCTTTCTGCCATTAGTAGAGTAGGGAATCCACGATGTGGTGTGTAGTTTTTTTTGTGAAAGAACCTCCTAGGATTATTTTCGTTTGTACGTCTCATTTATTTGAATAGCTTTGTTGGAGTAGTATACGCTGGTTGACGAAGTTTTTATAGAGTGAAAGATAACCAACGTGGTCTGAATCTTGGATCGCTTAGACCTAGCGTGCTTTTTTTTTTTTTTTTTTTTTTTTTTATACAATTCTTTACTTTCGGGGGTAGGATAGGTTCTATGTTTGGAACGTTAAGTAAGATTGAGAGAGTTGTTGTCATCGCGGACGAATTCTGCCATTCGTCGCGAAGTACTGGTAGTTCTCATCATGGATCTTGTTAGAAAAATCCGCTGTAGGCGTTGGTTTGAGGGCGGTTTTGTCGTAGTGATCGGAAAAGGACGACACCCTCGTGGCAGAAGGGGTTGTGCGATCAAAGGGTAGAAATCTCCTGGGATCTCATCTGAAAATTTTGTTAGTATTTGGGAACCGTAATCTATTTCGCGATTTGTACGTGAAGGGAGCTTGATGACTTATCTTGAGAGCGTTGACTTTGTTAATCGTAACTGATTTTTTTTTCTCTGATGTCTTTAAAAGAAATGTAATCTCATAATAAAATATTGTTCCATCATGATTTATATATGTCACGATAGCATAGTAGTTAGAAATATTCATTAAATAACAATCTTGCCTCCTCTATTGGAGACCGGAATTGACCCAGTTTTATGAGAAATCATTTTAATTTTGATGCATGAACAGAAATCAATCATCAAATCATCAATCTGACGATTATTTTCATTTCGGTCCTAAAAGCATTTAATTTTTTTTTTCCGGAAAAGATTTAATTTTTATTGAAAAGTAACATGATATTTACATATTGTAATACAATTAAAAAAAATCTACATGATAAAGGAAGGTGGCTGTTGAAAATTTCGAAAACACGAATTTTTCTACCGATATGTGAATAATTCCAAAAGATTTGTAATTATTCGCACACCGATAAAAAAATTCGTGATTTCGAAATTTCAACATGCTGAAAACTGAAATAAGTCCTTTGGCCTCCATTTCTTTTGAACTACTTTTAAGATAAAACAAATTTGAATTAATCAAATGTACAATGAACCATTGATCTAAAAATAACAAAAAAAAAAAAAAAGAAAAGAAAAATGGTTAAGCAATGTTACATAATCTGTTGTTGCTTATGATTGTGAAGCAACAGGTGATGATGAAAGCAATGTTACATAATCTGCTGTTGCTTTAAGCCATGAACGAAAAAAGCTTATGATTGTGAAGCAACAAGTGATGTTAATCCACAACTTTGATTTTCGCCTTGCGTTAGATTATAAAATTTTGATAGTTTTAGCTTCGAAACTATTGAAGGTATTGTTGAAGTACCTAAATTATTATTAGGGATATGAAGATTAGGATTTTGATATTAGGTCATAAAAATAGGATATGAAATTAGGACATGGGAAATTTGAATCAGGATATGAAAAATAACCTTAGATCTCGAATTAGTCTTTATTTTTTTTTTTCGACGTTTCGTTTTTTCAACATAAAGATATAAAGTTGGGAATATAATAGTTATATTCGTTATTGAACTAGATATTACATAAGCGAACATTTTATTTTTAAGTCGTTTTCGTTTAATTATGAAGAAGTTTCCTTTAAAACATAAGATTCACCACCCACGATTTATTTTTAGTAAAGTTATATCGCCGATCGTTTCCAGTTTGGAATATTGAAATTGTACAAACGGAAATCGCAAGAAAATTTTGAAGTAGAAAAATCCCGTCTTTTATCTAAATTTTAGAGAAGTTGCAAAAGCTTTCCTTGAGTCGAGTTGCCTCTGCGAATTCTAGCAGTAGGATGTATTTTTTCGATCTTTAATAACTTATAAAGTACAATTTATATCTTGAGATTAAAAACGAATCTTTAAAAAGAAAGAATTTTATTTTTCAATAAACTGATACATTGTTGCTATTCTAATATACATAATATGAAAAATGAAATCATCCCTTAACGTTTAATATTTCCCCCAACTAATTCACGTAAGTTCTCAAACGTGAAACCATTTAAATCTCCCCCCCCCCCCCCCCGGGGGGGGGATAAATTCACACCTAAGGGAAGGGGGATTCACCGCCTAGTACAAATTATATCTTGGAAGTTGCTATTCTAATATACATAAATTTGAAAAATGAAATCATCCCTTAACGTTAATATCTCCCCCAACTAATTCACGTAAGTTCTCAAACGTGGATTCTTCACTAGGGGAAGGAGGGGGAGGGGTGGATGGGTGGGGATAAGGGAAGGGGGAGGGTAAGGGATTCACCGCCTAATACAAATTACACTCGCCCCAAACAATTTTGCATGAGTTTGGAGCTTCCCCGCGGCGGTTAGATTTTTCTTTCTTTGTAAATAATTTCCTACCAAAATTATTACGGCAAGAAATGGTCTCGAGTTCTGAATAATTGATGATTCTTTGTTTACCCACGACAGAAAAAATCATTTTGATGATAAATTATTTGGGGAAATAAAGATTTAGATTTGTATTTTTATTTTTTTGGTTTTTTGGGGGGGGGTTTACAGATTTAGACAATGTTTTTATTTTTTGTTTGAGACAAACATTAAATTTTCGTGTTTAAATAAACGAGGGAAGGTATTGGAACGCTTTTTGTTTGTTGATTGTTGTCAAAAATATAACTATAATAAGGTTAAGTCAGGCTGAATCGGATTTTCCCTGGAGATTGATGATTATGCAACCGTTATATTACACAATTATTTTAATAAAACTTTATATGAAACACTTTCTATGGTTTTGTTCCTGATAAGTATATCCACTTCTGATTTAGGAACGTTGATACAGTTAAATAAAAAGCCAAGATGGATTGATTGGTTTGGTTTTGTGTTAAAAGGAAAAAGGTTTTTTCGTGCAACATGGTTTACAAATGTTGTAAATAAAAAATCATAATTGTTAGTAAATCGAAAGATAATGAGATAATAATAATGACAAAGAACGTGTTTTTTTTAGTAAAATTGGAAGATCGTTTATGCTGAGAACTTCTATGAAGAAAAAGATGCATTTTTTTTTTTTTTTTTTTTTTTTGTATAAAAATGAAAAAAGAAATGTTTTAATATTTAACAAAAAAAAAAAAAAAAAAAAAAAAACCAACAAATTATTTTATTCACAATCTACACTTCAAATTTTTCAGACTAAAACACAATTAAATAATGTATTGGCACAAACTCGCCTTCTCCACTTGCCTATCGTTATGGCATACTTATTCTTTATTGACTTGCCGTATAATGGCATGTTCAAAATTACTTTCTCTATATTATTCTTTATTGACATGCCATAATGGCATGTTCAAAATTATTTTCTAGTTAAATAACCAAATTTAATATTTTATGAACATGCCTCATGGCATGTTCAAAATTATTCTCCGGTGATTTACCGGAGTTAACTTATTTTCCGGAGATCCGCCAGAAATGGCGGCTCTCCACATGACATGCCATAGTTCTAGATTATTCCCTTCATAATACTAAATCCCTTTCGCTGGGTGCTCAAAACATGTCGTGTTCAAATAATTTATTCTTTATGGAGGAACTTCCCCTAAATTGGTCATGTGGCTCTCTACACATGACATGCCATAGCTCGAGTTTATTTTTTTTTTCATAATACTAAATCCCTTTTCGCCCTTCCTGGCGGTGTTCAAAATTTATTTTCATAATACTAAATCCCTTTTTGCCCCTTCATTGGCGTGCTATCATTTTTACATCTGTTCCAACAGATTTGTCATAATACAATATTAGGGTTCCTATCATTCAAATAATGTAAAAAAAAAAAAAATTATCAATGTATTCATTTCAAAATTTAAAATTAAATAAAAAATTTGTAATTTTTACCTACTTCATCTTTGGTTGTAAAACGATACGTAGAAACTTGTCTTCATTAAAAAGTTTACTCGAAAAAAAAAAATTTTTTTTTTATATTGCATTTCTTGAGAATGATCAGGAAAAGACGTAGAAAAGACGAATGGTAAGTCATTGATCCTTAATCTGGGTTCAACGAAGTATCATTTTACCTAGATAAATATCTCCTCGTGATATGGACGAAATGAATGTTGTGTTTATGCTTAACATCAACCAACATATGATTCAATTCGCTTATTTTGGTCATCAAAATATAATTTCAAGTTATATTAAAGCACATAGATACCCGCTCGGATCCATTTCAGTAATATAATTTGAAAAGGATTTCTTAAAAAAAAAAATCCAGAATCGTAAACCATGGGAGATTCCACTACTTTGCCATAATTTTACAGCGTTTTGATCTCTTTTTTTTTTTTTTGATGAGGTAAATCAAAGGAGAACTTATATTTTGAAACATGCACTGTAAGGTAAATAAAATAATAAATTTTTTTTTTTTTTTTTTTTCGATTCTTCAGCATCGAATGTAATTTAATATCAAATAAAATAAAATTTCAAAATCAATTTACATATATTAGCTTCGATAATCGATTCTCGATTTTGAATCACCACGAGAAAATGAAGGGCGATCTTTATCATACATTATAGTGAAGATAAAGATTAAATCTCGCGAGTGAATTCATAAAGGACGCAGCGAGGGTGGATTAATGACACGATCTAAATCGGTATTGATTTCTTTAAAAAGATCGCCTCAGTATTTCACAAAGGTTGGTAGTTAAATTAATTTCGTGATATTTTACGAATGACGTCTTCGTTCACATGTTCACATTCGTATCACTTACCGTAATTAACCTGTTATATTAACGCATGCTTTTTTTTTTTTTTAAAAAAAAAAAAATAAAGGAAGTTTCAATAAATGAATTCGAGAGTTGCTTCCTTTGAATCTTATGATGATCCAAGTATTATCTATTCGTGAAGATGATGAAGGGCTTTTAAGTATCGCATATACAAATCCGATCAGAAGGCAATCATGGAAAAAGAGGTTTTGTGATCATCGTAGTTAACATTGCGTAATTAATTTTTAAATATTATAATTTCTACTTTTTTAAATAAGAATATTATATTAAATATCATTTTATACTTCTTGATTATTTTGATCATATTACTTTTCAATTATAGCAACACCCACGCAAATATGTGAGAAAAATATTTCTAAATCACAATTTTTAGAGTTAAATAAGAAATAGAATATATATATATTTTTTTTGTGGGGATTATCTTTTTATCTATTTCTTAATACTTTTAAAATTTCATTTAATTCATATTTTTATAGACAAGTATCATCATTTGCGTCTTCAACTATTATAATCGAGCATTAGTTCCTGTAGCAATTGTATCACAAGTTAGACGCGTTTTATTATTAATTGTTTGTCACTCATTCATCTTTAGTTAGATGGTATTAACGAAAAAAGACGATTATAATAATTTATAGCATTAACTTCAATAATTGATATAGAGGTACTATTAAGTAACATCTTTACTTTATGTTTACCTCAATTACATTCATTCTGTCGTTTTATTCATCTTAATTACGAGAAAATTGAAAAAATTCAAAATTTACAAGTTCTGATACGTAAATTTATAATGTAATCATAATAAAAAAAAAAAAAAAAAAAAAAAAATTTCGAATTTATACATTTTTTTTTTTTTTATAAGCCAGAAACTACTTCAATAAATCTTTTTTTCAATGTTAGAACCATAGTACGAATATTAATTAGTATGAATACCAATATTTTGAGATTTCTTTTTAAATTTTTCTGAAAATTTGATATGAAAATGAAAATATACACCAAGTATTTTTATTTTTATGCTCTCGAGAGACTAAACAATTTGAATTATAATTTTAGAAGCTGATTGATTGTTTCTAAAAGAAAAAGGATCAAAATTTATTCAAATTAAAACTATCTTACAATAATGAATTATTTTGACAGTAATCTATCTATTTACATCACAAATTTTTTAGTACTTTCAAATTTCTCTATATAGGAACGTGGTATATTAAAAATTGCAATTTTTTTTTAATTCAATCTAACCACCTCTAACCAAAATTGTAAAGGAAAAATTGAACATAAAAGTAAGATCAATAATAAATATTCAAAAATAAAATTCAATGATTCTGAATTCGAAACTGACCAGGATATGATAATGAAACTACAGGGTAAAGTTTTGATGGTAGCTCACACCATTCTGATACCATATACTTTACACGATTGATTGTAAATGAGCACTTATTATTATCCATATCTAAATGAACAACGATCCTGCATTTACCTTTTAAATATATGGGAACACCATAACATTTAGTTGTATCAGAATTATAAATCATGCCAAGTGAACCAAATGTCCATCCAGCACATTGAGATCCTGCCAATTTTTCATAATCAAAACCCTCTGATATACACACTCCAATCCAAGCCCATTCACAATGTCTCTCAACAATGATATCCCATTTGAAAAAACCTTTCTGTTCTAATGCTACTTTGGCTCTAACGCTTTGGTGACCACTAAGTTCTTTAGTTGCTCTTATGACCTTATTATCATTATCAACAATAAGTTTTGATCCACAAGCTGACTCATCCCAAACGTAATCTATATTATTTGTATTATCTTTTAAAACTGATCTAACGTTGAAAATTGTTTCAAGTGGGATCAAATTTAGTGGCTCAATGATATTGGTTAATACTTTGCTTTGAATTTGTCCGAAATCAATTAATTGTATCAGAGGTTCCAATTCTTTAGCGACTTTGTCATGATCTGGGATAAGCTCATTATCAATTTGCGTAAAGTTCTCGATGTACTCTAAAGTTGGTAACCGGTTCAAAAGAGATTCGGTTGCATTATTAGAAATCTGTCTTGCGACTAAAATAGCACTATATCGGAAAACCTCATATTCTGAAGTTGCAAAGGGTTTGTCATTTCCATATACATAAGATAACAAAACATGAAGTGCCTTAGTAGATAATCGGCCAAATTCAATATCATTTAACGGGATAGCTGAAACTACGTCAACTAACATATTACAAAGAGTATTCTCTTCTATCGATGGCAACATGTCGACAAGTTTAGATAACAAATCCGGCGAATAATTATCCTCGCAGTTCCCTTCCAAAAATTTTTTTCCTACGTCCTTTACAATAAAATCTTGAAGGCATGGCAGTTGAAAGTAATCCGCGACAATGAAAGCTTCAACGATATTTTCCTTGGTTAAGGGTTCCTCTTTAACGGCTCCTGTATACATAAATTCCATCATAACTTTCATTTCTGAAGAGTTAATATGTGAGAAAGAAATACTTTTCTCATAACTTTCTCTCATTCCGTTGTAAAACATACAGTTAAAAACATTAGATCTAGCAGCTAAAATAGGTCTAAAGGCGTGTAACTTCTTTTTATCTTTGCATACAATTTCTATGTCACTAAATGTTGGGTTATTGATTAATACACTCAAATCTTGTCCCAATGAGAACCCTCTTGTATTATTAGACATATTTTCTTTTTGGTTTTTTTTTTAAAAGGGTAAGTTTTAATGAGTTTAATGATGAAATAAATTCGGGGAAACAAACGCGTACGATCGACAAGACTCGGGGACGCGGTGATTAAAAACCTCTCCCGGAAAAAAAGGGTAGGCCGATCAAATAATTGAGTCGATGTTGATTGGCTTTCGCAATTGTACAAAAGTCTCGATAAAGCAAATACCAGCGTGAAATTTTTTTAAAAACAGTACCCCGTTTCCTAGTTCTAATACTATCCCTGATAATAAATACAAATCCGGCTAAGTAATTCGTGTTCTAGTTATCATAACTTTATCAAGTTTATCAAGTTGTATAGAAATAGTAAATTTACTCGAGAAGATTTTTTTTTGTAATTAACTAACATTAAAAAAATCCATTCAAATTTAATCATGATTTAATGTAAAATGTAAAGGTTTATATTATAATTATAAATTTATTTTTAAATATACAAAATTTTTTATAACTTTTCTTTAAAATGATAAAATTTATAATATTCTATTATAATTAATATTGCTAAAAATAAAATATTAATAAGATTATCAAAAGTTAATAATAAAATTTTTTAATATAAAAAATTAGCTTAAATTATTTATTATGTAATTAAAAACAAAATTAATTTAAAAAAAATTTTAATTTTTATAAAAGTAAATTAGAAAGAAATTTATAGTAAATAAGCAAATAAATTTGCTTATGAAATTTTACAGTTTAGGAAATAAAATATTTATTATTAATAAAATATTTTTATATATATTTTATAATTAATTTTAAAATTACAAATATTTTTTAATTTTAAATATATGCTGATTTTGGATAAAAACTTTAAAAATAAAATAATATTATCTTAAATTTGAAAAAAAATATTTTATATATTATATATTTTTATATTTTACTTTAAATATATTTTATTAGTCTAGAACATAAGCAAAGAACTATATATGTCTATACTTAGTATTTGTTTGTCCACCCGTTTAAAATTTGAGTCAAAAACATTTTCATTATACTTATGTTCTAAACTTAATAATAGTTTCTAAAACTGTTTTTTTAGTTTTAATTTTTCATTCTTATTCAATAAAGTATAAAAAATCTATATTATAAAAATTAACTTTTGAATTTAAACATTACTTAAGATAGATTATATTTGTTTTTAAAATATTAATATTTAAAATCAAAAAATATAATAATTATTTATATATTTGAAAATATAATCAACTGATTTTAATATTTATTTAATAAAATTATTGATTTAGAAACTTATTGATTTAATCAATTATTTTAATAATTTTTAATTAATAATAAATAATTATATAGGACTTTTACAATAGAAAAGGAAAAACAGTTAGAAAAAATAAAAATGAGTTAATACTAAATCTGAATATATTTTAACTTAAAAATCATATTTAACATATGGGTTGATTGTTAGGAAAATCATATTCTAGGAATTTTTTAGTAAAATTAGGATTTTTATTGCACTTTAATATTTGATGTTATTAGATAAAATGTATTAAGCTCTTAATTTTAGTCAAAAATTTCTCAGAATCTGATTTTTCTAGAAACTCTTCTATACAAAAGAAATTTGATTTTTTCTGATAAAATATAATTTGTCTGTCAAAATATAATTTAATTAGTAATTTATCAATTTGTATTGAAGTAATTATAATAAAAAAAAAAGAAATTTCTATTTATATAAAATTTTTGAATAGATTTCACATATTTTATATTTATTATTAGTATCACATCTTCTATCTTTAGTTTTTATTATTTATTCAAGAAACTTAAAATTTTTTTAGTAAAAATCTTATTTATCATATTTTATTTGTCACATAATCATTATACAGATAATTTCTTAATTTTTTTTTTTTGATAAAATAATATTAATATCAATTGTATTATGTAATTAAAATATATTTAAATAATTAAATAAAACTTTAATATTAATAATTATTAATAATATTTATATAAGTAAATTATTAATAAATTTAATAATATATATATTTTATATATATAAATAATTAATATTAAAAATAATATATTTTACAATTATAAAAACTAAAATTTGATTTTAAAATATATATTTAAATAACTTAAATAAATATTAATATAAATTAAATTATTAAAATAATATAATAATTTAAAAAATATGTATATTAAAAATTATTTAATATACAATTAATATTATATTATTTTTAATTATTAAATATATAAATTTATTTATAAATTTCAATTTTTTTAAATTAACAAAATGTTTTGATTAATAAATATATAATTATTAAATAGGTAAAATATATAAATTGAATTTAAATTATAAAAAAGTAAATTAATATAAAATTTAACTAAAGATATTAATTTAAAGAAAATTTTACAATAAAAAAAATTGAAATAGAAGATAATAAAAAATATTTAATTTTCTTAATTTTTACAAAAATTGAATTATTATCATTAAAGATGGTCACCATAATTATTTTCAAATTTCAATTGAGTTGCAACTTAATTGCGCCATAAAGAAATTTAATTGCGCCGCAAGTTGCAACTCAATTGCGCCATTTTTTTTAATTGCGGTGACCATCTTTAATTATCATATAAATTTATAATAACAGTATAAGTATTTTTTATATATATATTTTGAGATTTATCACCACATATTTTTGAACGTCTTACAATAAAACTATTCTGATTTTTTAGCTATTTATCTAAAATTTACTTTTAGTTAAATATTTATATAAAAAGACAAATTTTATACAAAAATTTAATATAATTTAAACTTTTAAAAAAAGCTTTTGATACCTATAAATATACTTGTGATTAAAATCTTGTATTATACTTTATATAAAAAATTTTAAGAAATAATTTTATTAATAATTTTAACAATCTAAAGTGATCAGATTAAATAAAATATGTGATAATTTATAATTCTAGTAGAAATTATATTTAAATTTTAAATTTAGATAAAATTATTAAATATGAAAACAATTCATTTAATTAATTAATATAGAAAATTAAGCATTGAAATTGATTTTTTAGAGAGATGTATTCTTCTTTTACTCAAAATATTAAACAAACTGTATCTATTTTAAATCAATGTTATTTTTGATAAATTTTGATAACATTAGACTTTTTTTGAATATTTATCTAAATTCAATTCTTCTTTCATACATTTGTAGGATTTTTCAATTATATTAGTATATAATAAAATAATTAGACTTTTTTTTTGTTGAAGAGAACATTGTGATCAGCCAATCATATTTGTTGCCTAATATGTACATGCATATTTTGTGATTTTCTACATTAAATATTCCTGACCTACCAATGTCTCTGAACATGCGTTCCAAATCGTAATATTGAAAAAGGTTGTTTTGAGAGGACATAGTATTTTATTTACAAACTTTTAACAAATTTTGTCATATTGTAATATCTCAATTAATAATTTCGTTTTTATATTGTAAGGAGAAAAACCATCATTAAAAAATAAATAGAAATATAAATATTTTCATAGCATTCAGTTCCAATCCAATATGCTAAATCTGACGCTTGCATCGATCAAAGCATCTCTCCTTCATTATCAAGTTCAAGACGCATCATGATAATAATGAAATTGGAAGAATTTTTGGCTGTATGACAATGCAATGAGTGTCATAATCTGGGTTACAAGTCCTTTGGAGACGGATTCTACAGCATGATTATGTGTACGATGATTTGTCTTTAGATATTTAGTCGGAGATAGAATCGAGGTGAGTCAGAAGATACTTAACAAATTTAAGATTTTTAGTTTTTGATGTAATTAGATACAATCTCTCCAAAGTATTAATTGACTAAAAATTTACAGATATTTTAATTATTTAATTATTAATGATCTGTAGTTCGAGTTTCCAGAAATCCAAAAAATTATGTGATCTAAATAAAACTAAAACAATCGTTTAGGTGTCGTTTTTATAAGGCGAAAGTTCTAATTGGCATCAATGAACTGTATGATTATCTGCAAAAGGTGTTGAAAACAAATCTTTACCAGGAAATAGGAATAACGACTAGTTTTGGAGCTGGAATACGAACGATTAACACCTTTCGAAAATTTATAAAGTCATTTGATAGAGATCGGTAATTCACCATTAGCAAGATTACATCATCATGATTGACCTAACGAATGGTTTATTGAAGAAACATTATCAGTTTTAATGTGGATATTTTAGTTATTAAAATACTTTCAATGATTCATTTCACTAATTTCCCAAGAAGGTAACCGCAAAATTTTGAAATGAAAATTTCCAATTATCAAGTAGAAAAAGGTTATCATAAAAAAATTATAATGATTTTTCAGTATACATCTTTGGTAAGAGATCTGTCCAATACTTCGAAGATAATCGAAATATGAATTTGGATGATTATTAGTTATTATTTTTACAAATTTTTATGTTATTCACATTGCTAGAGTTTTTTTTTTGAAGGGTGTATTTGCGATTCAAACAACCAAGTTATTTTTGAAGGCTGGATTTCTTTTTTCCTGAAAATTTATGATCTTTTTACGAATTATAAATAAAAAAATTTTTAAAAGCCGTTTTAAAGTAATTTTTTTAATTAAAGAAATGTAAAATGATTCCAATAGTTTGTTACAACGAAAAATAAAAAAAAAATTTACAATGTTTTTAATACAAGCAACTATAATACAAATATCGTGTGTGTGTGTGTGTGTGTTTTTTATACCTAACGCGTACTCTTTATACACCATCAATTTAAGATGATTCAGTCGAAGAATCATTATCACTTGATGTCATGGTCGTGTCGCGTTCATCTTTTATTTCATCGATCTCGACACTTGATGTTAATGATTCTCCAAGATTTAATTCAAGTTTTAATTGAAATTCATCGATTTTAGTTTCAACTGCTAATTCAAAAGTTTCATGTTCGGATTCAGATTCCGATTCAGAACTCTCCACCTTTTCATCATCATTTTCATCATCATCTACCTCTTCGGAATCTTTAGTAGAAGACCCTTCCAACTCATTTTGTTCAGATAATTCGGCTTCTATAAAAATAAATAAAATAAAATTACCATTTTTTTTTTTACAAATTTCAAACAATTCTTATATGTACCATTCCGAAATTGATCACGAAGTTCGAATTCACGTGATAATAAATCGACAAGAGGTCTGCTAGTATAAATAGCATCAGGGTGAATTTCAAAATCCTCGCGCTTAAACTGAAAGTCTGAAAGATCTATATCATTCCAACTTTTAATGGTAAGGAGGATTTCATTAGCATTCGGTCTATTAACAGGTTCCGTATTCCAACATTTTTGCATCAAATCCGAATAAAATACGGGAACTTGATCCGAATCGAATTGCGGACGTAAACCCCTTTCACAAATGTTAAAAATCAATCGTGGATCATGAGCGCGATCATAAAATGGGGGAAATCCGGTTATCAACTCGAACATTATCATTGAAAAACCATAAATATCAGAATCTTGAGTAAGTGGCCAACCGTTTAAAACCTCGGGAGCTACATAAGGAATTACGCCATATATCTCTCCGAAATTTTGATGATTACATAATCCAAGGTCACTTATGTTTAAAAAGACATTCGTTCCTTTTGAATGTAATAATAGGTTACCAATGTGTAAGTTTTTATGAGTAAGACCTTTCGAGTGAACATGTAATAAAGCTTCCGCACAATCATGTAACAATCGTAATTTATCTGACCAGGTTAATTCCGAATAATTTTCTTGTAATGAAGTACGAATGTCTCGTTTATTATGATATTCAGTTACCAACATGTAACAATTTTTCTCGGGGTCTAGAGTCATTCCGTAAAATTGTACGGTTCGTTCACAACGGGATTTTTTACGTCCATAATGACTTCGAAGCTATAAATAGTTAATCATCATTAGTCGATTGATCGATATCATTGTCAGCTATTTACTGCGGGTGACAATTTTTTTATTTTACATTTTAAAGTCGTTACCTGGTTGATGAATTCAAATCCGATGTTGTCCGGAGAATGAACGAGTCGTTTTAAAACCACTTTACACCATTTACGCCTGACGTACAACATTCTTTCATTGTTCCAATGATTTCTTGGTCCTTTCAACCAAATAGCAGTGAATACACTTTCATTAGCCAAAAGTTGTACATTAGAAAATTGATTAAAAGGAATCCATTCCCAATAAAATCTATGATCATACGATTTATATTGCGTATTTCTAATAAATTTATCCAATAATTCATTATTACTAGTCCAATCTGAAAAATGCTTTGCAAATTCTTTTGATTCACACGTTTTGCACCAATTGAGTGATCTCATGTTCTTGCATACATTACACTCGTGTAAATCTTTTGACGCAATAGTGTTGTTAGATGATTTTATGGTTTCTGCCAGGTCTGATGAAGTGGTTTTTATGCTCACTTCCGTATCAGAGTTGAATCCATCTGAATCATCCGAGTACGTGGTCGAAGGTGGGATTTTAAGTTCCTCATTTTTGGAAGCTATCGTATTGAATTGTAGGAATAATTAAAAGAATAAAAAAAAAAAAAGTCTTTAAAACATTACATGATTTCATATTTATTATAAAATGGGTTACCATTCGTTGAAGAACCTAATAATCTCAAAACTCCAAGAATTTTAGTCTTCCAAGTTTGTCGAGGTTGCATATTTTTAATAAATTAATGATAATAACAAATTCAATTAAATAATCCTGTTTTTTTTTTATTATTTTTTTTTTAACGGAAAGGTTGAAAAGAAAATTTCTTTTATACAAAAAAAAAAAATTGTAGTTCATAAGAGTTAAAAAGATGTATTTAAATTCGAGAAAGGTAAATGATTAAAGGGAAGGATTAAAAGGAGAAACGGAATGAAAGGACAAATGACAATGAAAAAAACAACCATAAATATATCAACAATGCTAATGTGGACCTTACACACGATTATTTGCTTTACTTTTTTAAAAAAATTGATGATCCACAAGAAATAAATTAATTTTTATTATTTTTATTTCAATCTATACACCAAAAATAAACAATGTATGCATCAAATCAAACCACGACGGGTTATTTACTCTACCCAAAACAAATTTTCAACATCATATCAATTTTCAATCACAATGAACTGTGTATGAATAGAATCATACAATCACTTAACCTTAAACATTGCATATCATTTTAAAGTATAATTCGTCCCACTTTATCTCTTTAGGAATAGTTTATGAAAAAAAATGTCTCGATTTGGAAAGTTCCGCTCGAGTATTTCTTCTAAAGCCTTTTTTTTTTGATAAATAATTTTTTTATTTGTTTATGGCTAATTTTCTTGTTCCCTACAAACAAGGCTCGGGACGTTACATAATCGATTTTATTGTTAGTATATATTATTTCAATATTTCTCCTAATAAGTCTAATTTATTTCGAATCGTGCGATATTATGTGTTACAAATATGATGAGGATCTTGCTTATCAAGGAAAGAAATTTCTACACGAGGAGTGAATCTCTTTTATTGATGCAAAATAGGGGCTTCTTCTGGAAAAGAGAATTGATTAATTAAATGTGAGTCATTCTTGAAATGGTAATGTCTATTAAGCTATTTGGAAGAATCCATTTGTGGTGATTGATGATGGATTTGATCTGGGCTTATGAATGTTGATTTGAAAAGGCTTAACCTTTCAAGTTCACACAATGATTTTTATATTTTTGATCAGTTAGTTTTTATCTCTATTTATTTAGATTCAAGTGATTTTCACAAATATTGATTTCACGAAACTTATTTGTCATCAGTGTAGTGCGTATATCATTAATATAAAAAAACATTTAACATCTTTGTGCACTTTCCGCACAATGTTTAGGAAATTATTTTCTTGATAATAATCTAAGAAAATCGTCCGATCAAAATCAGTGATCTCAGTGATTTCAAAATTTTATCTGTCGTATCTTTTTTTTTTTTTTGATTAATCTGACGATGATTTGCGTCGTCACTTTGGTGTATGTATATCACAAATACACGTTCTAGTTTAGTCACCATAACAAATTAAACAGGGTGATGTCATCCGACACAATATTCAAAGTTATACAAAATTTCTGTTCTACCCATTTTCTATATTTCGAATTGTCGCTTGTATTCAAATTGAAATGTCCATATGAGATTACTTACAGTATATCGTCATCTTAAGATCTCATGATGCTCCAGTATAATTAGTATGTTTCATGACGCATAACGCGTCACCGACAACTAATTTATAAATAAAAAAAGGGGGGTCAACAATAGCAAGGAATTGCACGCGAGAGAATATATATACAGTATATTAATTTTTTTTTATTTTTTTAAACAGTAAACGATTAAAGATTAGACCTCGTCCGGATACAGAAAAAAGATTTTGCTATCTCCATAATTTTTAATTGAATAACCAATCAAAAAAAAAAAAAAAAAAAAATTAGTTTTCAGATCAATTATTATGTAAAGTTTCTAAAATTTCTATAAAATACACGATCCTTTATTCTATAGGTGAATCTTAAAAGAGAAATAATACATATTTTTTGATTTCTTTCTATATTGGATAAATTTCTAATGAAAATGCAATGTGTCTATGATTAATTAAAATTTACAAATAAAACGGCTCGCTATTTTATGAAGGTACAAAAAATATGATGAAAATAAATAAATAAGATGAAAAATAAATAATAATAATAAAGATAAAAATAAAAAATAATATTAAAATGAAAGTTCCGAAATTATATAATCTTCTGGACCTTTTACACGATCATTTGAATCTACATTTTGATAATGTCTCTTATTCTTTTCTCTAATCAGGGATCTCGTTCCTACCATTAAATGATCTTGAATTCTTTTCCATAAACTGCTCCTGAATCCATGATTTACAATTCTTCGTGCTAGTTGAATCCAACTTGGAACTGTTAAATCGTTCATGTTATAGTCATTCCATGTCGTATATTCGATTATGTATTCTGGTGTAATGTTTGGATATAAATTCGCATGAGTGAGATTCATGAGATATTGTGTATAACCCAAGGGCGTCAAAAATGTGTTTACGTGTGCAGGGGAATTTAAATGATCTTTTTTAGATTTTTCCGCTAAATTGACTTCATGATCTTCATTTGTCAGCTCGGTTGTATTATAATCAAATATTCTTAAAGCCGGGAAGAATGTAGGAATTATAGACGGATTGATATTGATAACAGCGTATTCTTTCTCTATCTCTCTAGTGAATGGAACCTTACGATAATGTCTGAGAAGTTTATTCATGTATTTATCAATATTATAAACTTTGGTCTCGACTGCTTCTCGATCCTCTTGTAAAATGTTTAATCCTTCTCGAACTTCAGGTACATCCTCTTCAACTTCATTATAAATTCCATCATCATCATCATAGTTTCTCACTTCTTCTTCCTCCTCCTCCTCCTCCTCATCATCATCATACTCCTCCTCATCATAATCGTCGTCCTCATCATCAATGTTATAATCACTTGTAGTATTTACGGGACGAAATTTCCTACTTCTTTCGCTCAAAAAAAAGAAATGGTCCATATTGGAATGTCCGTAAAAGTGCCCCAGGATAATATCGTGATACTTTATTGATAATCGTCCATATTTCCTATAACATGACTTTGTATATTGTTTGATTCTTGGTGCCACATGACCCGATAAATAAACTTTCAATCCACGTTTGTTAGCCCTTTTCAAAACATTATTCAGCCATCTCAATTGAATCGTGCCAGGTTGATCCTTTGCTTTACATCCATTAACGGCCGTATTTGCCTTGTAAAAATATAAGGTATTTAATGAGACAACAATGAGTTTATCGGGGATGACTTCTGTGTAAAAATATCCACCATTCAAAAAGGTTTTGTGCTGTTTTTTAGGAATAAAAGGAGACCAGATATCATGAAGAATTGTAAGAAGGTCATTTGGACCTGGAAGGACGATATTATTAGGATGAATATCATTGTTTCCTATAGAGGGTACGATAGGGATGAAATGTGGTGCTTTCTTTCTTCCACGAAGTTGAGTGTCGCCAAAAGTTTTTAAAAATTTTTCGGTTATCATTCGATTTAATTGAAACATTTCCTCGGGGGTTCGGGGTATCATATCATCGTTATCATGCCTAAAATTTACGCAAGTATTTTAAAATCATGAACTTTGATATGATGATGAGCGTACAAGCATTTAAACACATTCATACCTTGCGTTATCTCCGGTCCATATAATAAAATCAAGCTTATTCTTCCAATTGTTTTCCAACCATTCAAACGTTGCTTCTATCAGACTCATAGGAGAATCACAAACGGTAGCAGGAGCTCCCCAAGGACCAGATATACCCCGTTTCATATGTCTAGGTTTTTTTGCACTTTTAAAGTGTTCATGACACCTAGATTTTGCGGTAACATTAGAAACGTAATGGGGATCCGGATGAAAATCCGTTATATGAAGAAACTTTCCATGAAGTTTAGGGGGTATCGGTATCGGGATAGTTTCCGAGTCAAAGAGAGGAGATCCGAATAAAGATAACAAGAATAATAAAGGAATAACATATAATAATTTAGCAGATATCCACATATTGAAATTTTTATTTTTAATTTATTTATTTATTTTTTTTTTTTTCTTTCGGAGTTTGAATATATTTATAATATTTTTTAATTTGTCAACTTTTTTTTAACTGGAACACGCCCCCTTAAATAATGGTACTAAAAGTGGCATGGCAACAATTAATAATACAGAATGATTTTCGGTAACGGCGTATTGGTAAATCATTTCGTCAACAGACTACGTCATGAAAGAAAACAAAAGCGTGTTTCACTTTTGTTTCACGAATTTTCGTCTTTAGAAACGTAAATAATATTTCATTGGATAAATAACCTTTTATTTATACGATAGGGGGTCGCGTGGTTTTCTTTGTAAAGAATTTGTGTAATAAATATCGAAAAACACAACTCATCATTGGATGACTGCGGATCATTTATCGTCTTATCAAATACCTAATCAGCTAGATCATAGATCTTTTAATTCAGGAACCAATAATCCTCAAAGCACGAACCTGATTACTTTGATGATACGCAATCAACGTATAATGATTGAAGCAAAAAAAAAAAATGTTAAGAGGAAATCCTTTTGTTTTAACTTAAAAAATCTATTATGTTAAATTTTTTAAATAACTAGTGTAATAAGATGATCTAACTAGAGAGAACTTTACGCCTAAATTATTAATTATTGCATGTTGATTAAAGTTCGGACATTGTCTAAACAACGAATTCTCTTATCCGATGCATATTTGGCCAAATCTACTGACGATCATTCGAACAAAAATTCTTTTTTTATTCATACGTACCTGTGCTTCGTAAGTAAAACATATGGCGTCTCGGAAATTCGAAAACCATACACCAACTTTGGTTAATCCTGTGCGACGCGATAAAAAGAGCTCTTTGAAAAGTAAGAGATTTCCCTTATAATAAAAAATTAACATAAACATGTGAAAAACGTTATTTTGAAGTTAGCATGATGTATGTCATTGTTACAACAAAAAAAAAAAGATGTGATTTAAAAAAAAAACGGTGATGTCATTGCAAAATAATTTCGCGTCGATGATGTAGTAATTGTCGAATTTTATTATGAAAGTTTCATTATTTACGTAACATAAATATGTTGGATGCAAACTCCAAAGAGTTTTCACGATGATATCCTCACCTAGTACGATATTATTATGAGGCTTCCACTTGCGGTTAATTAATCTGCATCTGCCGTTTCCAATTCAACCTTGACGCTTTGTTCACTCGAGAAAATCAAAATTGCAATTTTTATAATTATTAATAAATAAATATTTATAACCTAGAATAGAAAATTCTATTATGATTAGCCGGAGACTCGGAGACTAAATAAAGATCGATATTATGTAATAACCATAATAGCCAAGCCATGAAACCCTTATACGAACGTTAACACCTTCTGACTTTACGAAAAAGTCAAAGATGTACACGTTAAATCAAAATAAATAAACAGATCTAAATAAATATAGGTGGTAAATAATCATTTTAAAAATTTACAAGGAAGTTAATCCGTAAATTTTTGTTTAGAACCCGGGATGAATTTAAAATGGGAAAATATGATTTAACCGATTCAGTTTGTTGAACTCATTTTGAACTTTAATGAACGATTTTGCATTGTTAAAGGTCAATTTACTTACTCTATGATTTTTCATGTCAACTTTCTAAAAAATTCCGTTTATGACCATGGATCGCGAGAATAACCTAGCATTTTCTTCGGAAACTGACAATCAAGAACAATTATATCTAGTAAGTTTTACGAATATAATCGTTCGAAAATCTCGGAATTTTTTTTTTTTTTTAAAAAAAGATACAGAGAATTTCGGAGAAAGGAAAAGGCGATATTGTTATAATAAATATGATTCACCTTATGATAAATTCTATATTGATTGAAGTAACTTCACAAGTTAAAGAAGCATATTCGGCTTCTTAATATTTGGTCTACTGAAAACAAGGTAAAAAAAAAAATTTACATATCGTCCAATCAATCATATTCTGGTTCGGACGTTGTACAAACTTTTTTTTTACGTGCTATTAATAGTAAAGTAAAATTTTACAAAATTACAAATTACAAATCGGAGAGTACAAAAATTTCTATCTAGTTAAGAAAACAAAACTAAATCAAAAATCAACCTTACCGTCCCAGACTAGCCTACCCTAGATTAAATTAGAATAGGCTCGCGGACGTTGTACAAACTTTTTTTTTTGAATTTAAAAACAAATATCAACTTTCCTATTTTATACACATACTTTAAATACGCAATAATTATTCTTTCCAAACCTAATTGGTTTAAGTATCAAAAAAATGTACTAAAAGTATTTTGAAATTCCTGGCCGTGAAGATAAATGAAAAATTGGAGAATGGACAAAAGAAGTTAGGTTTGAAAATGTTGATAACGAGAAAAAAATTCGTGATTGGTTTAGCGAAATATACATTTTACAACTCGATCAAATTCAATTAACTGAAATTGGAAATTCCCAATTTCAGACACAATATGCCTTAACAAAAAAAAAAAAAAAAAAGAATGAAAATACTATTTTTGTTTGAATCTAGAAATGTGGTTTTGATACATATACATATATATATTTATATTTAAAAAAAAAGTGACTTTTTACAAATAAGGAATCTATAATATTCTTGATTATTTTCCAATAATAAAGTGAATTCTTTTGCTCTTTAAAGGAGAAGAAAAAAGAATATTAACCCTTACAATAATGCAAATATTTATAAGTAAAAAAAAAAAAAAAAAAAAGAGGAATATACTTTATATATATATTTTTAAACGAAATTTCTAAAAGGTAATTCGTTATGGACTTTTTATATCACACTTTATCCCACACATCATCTAAATCTCTTGGATTATCCATTACAGGCCTATAAACAAATAGGTAAAATAAAATAAATGTTAAAGAAAAATTTTCGGTATCAATATAATAATAAGAGTCGCATCCACTTACCCAGAATATGGTTCATCACAACTAATTGTATGTTGAATAATGGGTATAACCGTTTTTGCTTCTTTTAAAGCAGCAGTTATGACCCTTCCCTCATATGAATAAAAATCTTCCAATAATAATTTTTTTAAAGATTTTCTCTCATTGGCATAATTTATCAGAACCTTTAATAAATTTTCATCTATAATTTCTGGTCTATATACGGCTAAAATCTGAAATGAGGCTGGACATGCTTTTAAAAAGAAATCCAAAATATATGGAGTAATTGACATATAAAACCCAAAGTATAAAAGAGATTTTGGAAATGATTTTGCGAATTGATGTAAATTCTCAGTTGTAGCAAAAGGAAATTCTGCTGAATTTATGTAAATGGAAAAATGTCGAAGATAAAGTGTTGACGTTAATAAACCAGACACTGAAACAGGGATTTCTGGTGTTGCTAACGATAAAGATAAATGTGTTAGATTAGGACATTTTTGTCCAATAATCTCGACGAGTTCAGATGTGACATGAACACATGATAACGTCTCCAGGTTTACATTTGCCATCTCTAGGATTGCTCCTATAAGCGCTGATACATCCACCCGGTATTTGTCTTCTTGATAATGTAAATGCTTAAGATGAATAGGTTCTGGTAGTTCTACATTCTTGATGGGTTCTTCATCACCCGGGTGAATACTAATAATTTGTAAGGTTTCTAATTTTCTTAAAATTGGTAGGATTGGTAATAAAAGACGAAATTGATACTGATACAGGTCATGAAGTCTTAGATATGTTAAAGAATGTGCTTGAACTGGTAACGCTTTAAAAATTGTAGCTGAAGCTGTAGGATTCCAGAATTCTAACATTACGAGATCACGTAAATTGTGTTGCGTTTGAATTAATTTCGAGATACTTTTCGCAATTTGTTGAAGTTTCAAATCTTGTTCAGAGATATTTGTGATATTAATATAAATATGTTGAATGTTACGAGAGCAATTGGTCATAAAATCAAAAAGATTTGAAATGATTTCGGACGATTTATCTTCTTGTTCAGACCATCCCGAATAATCAAACTGAAATTTTTCAAGCTTAGATAAAGCTCGATTCGCTTCGTCAAATGATATAATGTCCGCGATAAGCGAATCATCATCTTCATCAAAGTGCACGATGTCTAAATCCCTTATCCCTTTGCTACGACTAAATAAAAGATTTCCAAGAATCGTTTGAACAAAGTTGGTATATGGATAAATATCTAAATCTCGTCCTTCGAGGTAACTTGACCACGATTTAACCCTGGTGGAAAGCCATGACATAATAGCACCCGTGAAATGAGCAGATTCAAAACTTTGTAAATATTTCGGATAATCAAAAAGTGGCGATATTAATTCAGGAAGTTCTAATCCTTCATCAATTAAAATTTGTCTTTCATCTTCTGGCAAACATGCGATATAAATTTGAACTATATTTGCCGCCAATTCACCAAATCCATGATATTCAAAAGGGTGACTCCATAATAAAGGTATTGAAAGACGACACCAAAGTCTATTGACAAATAAGCATTGAAAAAGTGTTGCGGGATCATTTTTAAAATGAATCAATACTTGTTCAAAACATTCAACCGACAAATTTCCTGGAAGCACAACTTTATCTCGTTGATTATTGAGATTATTCATATTTAGTTAAATTATCCTTTAATAATAATAAAGGAAAAAAAAAAATAGAAAGGGAAAAAAAAAAAATTTTTTTTTTTTTTTGAAAAAGGGAAAATAGAAAAAAAAAAAAAAAAAGGAACAATTCATTAACAAAAAAAATGCTGCAATTTATCTTATTACGGAAACAGGATACGCAACTTGCAACCTGCACCTTACAGACAAAGTAATAAAGAACATTTACCAAAACTAGGTTGTGGGAACTTAGGTTTATCACGTGAAATGCGTCATTTGATGTATGACGTATGTTAAGCTCGCCTTTTTTTTTTTTTTTCCCAAAGGTTCAGAAAATTTTTTTTGAATCATTCTAAAAATAGAATTTCAAATTCAATAACTATATAAAACACGATTTGAAATGGGCAATCTATAAGGTTTTGCATAAATTTAATTAACAAAAAATATCTTTATTAATGATTCAAGTAAACAGTTATTTTAAACGAAAGATTTTTATGTAACCTATAGCTATATATGTAGTTCATATATAACTCTAAATTTTATGCATAATAATTATCGATAGGACCCATAAGCACTAGAGAAATTTCCTATCAACTCTTCGTCTTTGATTACTTGATCGATCAAAGAAGTCATATCCGTATCGGACCAAGTTTCAGGAGGAGGAGGTAAATTAGAAGTCAATGATTCTTCAGATGAAACGGATTGTGGCGTAGATTGTTGCGTTAACCTTCGTAAAGTTAAAGTGAGACTTATTCTATCGTTTTGAGTATTAAATAATTGTCTCAAATTATTTGCATCCGAATTCATTGAAAGTGGTGAAGTTGGATTTGAAAAATTCTTGTCGATAGCTGAAAAGACCACATAAAATAATTTTGTTATATCTTGACCCGATGATTGTTGCAACATCGCATCTACTTGATCGTAAAGAGATTTTAACAAAGGATTGGACTCGATGTGAGTAAAATTTAAACGTGCGTTAAGATGTGTTGATGAATTGTTATTTTCATTGACTGGTACTGAAGTTAATCTTGCCATATTGAAAGCAAGTAAAAGGCGAGAAATTTGTAATTTTGTATAGCGAAGTCAAAACGTGTTTTTATATAAATAAATTTTTAATAATGCTATTATTGTAAAACAATTATTTATAATAAAAATATAATGCACATGATCCCATTAACAAACTAAAAAATATACTAAATATAGATTACCTTATGAAAAAGAACGATACAATAACGAACATTGCATTATCAATGTAATAAAATCATGAGAAGGGATGTTTCCACATATTTTCTATTTAAAGATAAATATTTGCCAAAATTGAAATCTTTTTTTTTTATTGCATCATTATTACGATTATTGTTATGATCTTTGTTCAGTTATTATTATAGGTAGGATAAATCGCTATCACGATTGCAAAAAATAATTGTTTGATTCTTTTCTGATAAGTTGGTAATGTAAGAATTTAGGCTTGCATTAGTTCAATCAGTAATTTGATTCGATAATATATATCATCGAAGGCCGAATTTTGTATTCCGTAGTAAATACACCGAATTTTTTAAGTATGGATTAAATTGAATTTATATTAATTTTTCGAGTTCTTCTTTAAGTAATACATGTATTTTTTACGATAGCTGTTAAAGGAATTTTCATATAAATTTTAATAATGAAGAATAAATTGGATGTTGCATTGAATTTTTTTTTTATTTGATACTAGTTGGGATTGGCGTTAATGGTTTAGATAAATCTAATCATGTGATTTTATTGGCTTATGGGGGGGGATGAAATGATTTTTATGCATGGTAATCTAAATATCCCGTTACACAGCAATTTTTTTATTATATAGTATAGATATATAGATATATATTTTTGGCTAATGGTATTCAAAATCTATATATTTTTTTTTTTACCAAACTTGCATCTAAAAATAAAAAAAATTAAAGTAAGGTTTTACAATAGAAAAGGATTAAGTATTTGGCTTTAAAAAGCTTTAAAAATAATGAGATAAATGTTTCTTTATAAAAGTGATTAGCCTTCTTTAAAGTTAGTAATCTTTTAAATCATAAGGATCAGTTAAGAATCAGTTAACATCCTTACTTTAAGAATGCATTTTACTTTTATATATATTTATTTTTAAGTTATATTTTATCTTGATATATTAATTTTAATCAATTAGTTAAAAGTCTTCAAATTTACAAGTATTTAAATATAAAATTCTTATATTTTTTGATTTAAAAATTTAATTTGTAAATATAATTCCTGGCGAAAAGAATGGTAAAAATATATTTTGATAATATGTACAAACTTTATTTTAATGTATATTTATTTATAAGAC